ACACACACACACACACACACACACACACACACACACACACACACACACAAAAGTATTGGAGCCATTAAGGAGCTGGCAGGATGCTTCTGAGCAGAGGTTAGCTCATCATGGATGGGCACCCTGAGATGCCCAGTTGGATCTGCTCCATCCGTCCTCTCATTCGTCTCCAAAAACCCTCCCAGTTCTGGCCCATAAATCCAGATGTCTCACACGTCCAGATGCACTAAACAAACCATTTTTATTTTACACCTCTCTCCTCTCTTTTTAGTGACAGAAACAGGGAGAGRAAGACTCTTGGGGAGGATCAGATCATGTTGAAAGAGCTGCCTCCTAAAGATACCCCACCGGTCTGTGATTCCACTCGGATCCTGGATGGCTCCAGTGTCCTGTTATTGTCCAGAAAGAAGCTGATTCAGATCACCTTCAAATCTAAAAATGGGGTTTTAAGGAAAAACCACGCATGACAAATATAAAATCTCCAGTGAAGGATTCCCTCTTTATAGTTAAAAACTTGAACCACTTATTTTCTCCTTTTGCTCTTAAATCTCTAAAGACACTCTGAAAAGGTGCATCAGAAATCAGATTAATTACAGATTAGARCCCTGGATGACAGATTTTGATTGATCACAGCTGCCAAGACACTTTAGTTTACAGAGTAATTAAATCTTGTGACTGAAGCCACAGCTTTATTAACCCACATGGGTTAATAAAGTCAGAGACACGCGTATTTTGCACTTAATTCATCATGGAATGTTTAAGCCACAACCCAGCAAAAACATCTCTCCTTTTGCGCYACGGTGCTTCATTGCCCTGCCTAAACCAAGTCCTCAGATGGTCCCTCAGATGGTCCTACCTGTTACCGTCTCCGGGCGGAGGATTCATCAGATGCCATCGAGGAACGGCTCCATCCGCGCAGACAGAGAAGTTATCCGGTGACGGCGTCCGGCGGGAGCAGCGCGCCGTGCCATGGCGCACAAACAGATGGAGAGTGTGTGTGAGATAGAAAGAGTAAAATCACCGAGCTCGTTATTGCATCTTCCTGGAAGCCTCAGCGCCTCTGAGGAAGCTGCAGGAACACGCGCCGAGCTGCTCGTTTTTGGTTCTCCCGGGCGCGCGCCAGTGGAGACGCCAGGTGCCTCCCTTTGCGCGTTTGTTTGGGGAGGTGGGGGRAAAAAAATGACAGCGTCCAGTTATTCCAGGCAGGAAATTAGTTTTGATTTCCCGGATGACTCATGATGATGTGTACGTGTGTTGGGTTTAAATCCCACCCCTCCACATCTCTACGTTCCTCGTGACCCCCCGGGTCGTCCTTTGCTTGAAGTGGCGCGTTCACATGAAAATAAGCTGATTTTTGGCCTCATTAAACAACCGGATGAAGAGGGGCAGACACACGGGGTTTTAATGAGGTCAGCTGGGAATCAAAACTAAAACTAGAGGCTGTTACACCTTCATGTAGGGGCGCCAAGTGTCAAAGTTACAAAATGTCACCTTTTCATAAGTTAGCTCACTTTATAAGCGTTAGCATTTTTCCACTAACATTTATTTATTTATTTATTTATTTATTTATTTATTTATTTATTTATTTATTTATTTATTTATTACAATTTACTGATTTTTACTAAATGGTCATTTTAAATATTCAATTCTAAATCTAAATGTAGCTAAAAGTTAAATGTAAATGTGGCTAAATCATTTCAGAATGGAACTCAGCCTTTCTCGTTATGACATCATCATCCTGAGACACTGATGTTTGGCAGATAATAGCTTATGCTTGTTTTAGCTTATGCTAATTTGTACTTGTTTAGCTAATTAGCATTAGCTTCTGCTATTTCTTTTTTCTTTTCATTTTACAGGCTAATTGGTGTTTGTGAAGCTTTAATTTTTAATTTGAGGATAATGAGATAGCAAAGCTAACACTTTAGTTAGCTGTGCCCTCCACTGTCAATATGATGTCCCCACCATCACTAGTTTTTAATGATAAAGATGTTTATATTATGTCATTTATTTGTGTTGCTTTGTAGATTTAAAGCTAAACTGTTGTTGCTAATATGCTAAACAAAAAAATTGTTCCRTTATTAGCTGTTAGCTAATTAGCTGAATGTTTTGTTTAGCATATTAGTTTTTTCACTATCTTTGAAAACTATTGATGAACCACTTAGCATCCACTAAATGAGGTTTTGCCAATTTTAAGTTTGCTAACAGCTAACTAACAAACTGACATCAATAGGTTTGTGACAGTCCTGCCAGTCTTCAGCTCCAGGGAGACATGTTGCAGACTGAGGGACAATCATCAGACGTTAGCTATTAGCTGTTAGCATTAGCTTCTGCTAGTTTTTAACTTGAAGCTTAGCTTCTGCAAATTATTTTTTTGCACGTTTAGCTTTAGTTACTGTTACTTTTTTTACATTTAGCAGTTTAGCACTAGCAAAGCTATATTTCTACTGAGTGGATTATGATTTAGTGAAGCTAACATTTTGGTTAGCAGTGCTCATTACTGATAATAATACAAACAAATCACACCWAACATTATTGTCAGGATTTCACCAAAAACAGCTGCAACTCTGTAATTTCTTAACATTTAGTTGTCTTTGTTTTAAAAAAATGCAAGCTGGCACATACACATTCCTTACAAGAATAAGCTTTTAATTTTTACTGTAAAACAAGAAAAGTACTTTTTTTTCCCTATATGGGAGATCTTTAACTCTGAAATTCTTCAAGCTC